ATATTTTAATAAATTACAGTAGAAATATTAAGGGGCAACACATGTGGTCAGTATTGAAGTGCCATGAATAAATTCAAATTCTATTTTTCTATATTATAATTTTGTATTGTCAAGTCCATCATTATATCCAGTCATACGCAAAGTGGCCAAGAATATTAAATTGGTGGATATCTCTGATTTTTTTATAGATTTCCAAGAAAATTTCTCAATATGGAAAGAAATGTCATTACACCATTATTGATATCGATTAATCTTCTCGTGTGTAGAATAAGTCAAAGAGATACTACATATCGTACATACATGAATGAGCAACATAAGGACATAGTTAGCTAAATTGTGTGTGTTCTTTACGAAACAGCATTATATGCATACTCGTATGTATGTATGACACAATATTGGCAATATTCTCGTGAATAACTTTTGAATTCGTTAACATGCAACGTTGAAGATTGATTTCGTCAATATGATGCTGTAATGAATTTTGGTAACAGTTGTTGGTAATATTTTATTCAAAATTATGTGTTAGTTTTTCCTCATATCCATATTTATGTAAGTATGTTGATACAAACATTGTACATGAGAAGTATTTGAAGAGGTCCGTGTAGATTAAAGGTCACCTAAGGGTCCAATATAAAAGAGACTTACAGAAGGAATATCCCCAAAAATTACTTTTACAGAAATTTTATATAAAATATTTATATAAATTAAAATCATCTACATCGAGATGTACAGGAGTCAGAATGAAGACCGAAAATTCTACCAACGAGTAAAACACCAAACCGAAGGATTTGGTGCAGGGTGTAGAGTTGAAGAAGGAAACCTAGTGACAGATACAGACAGCTATTTGAGGATCTGGAAGAGCATTTAGAAAAACTTCTGGTATCAAATAGTGGTGGTGAAGACCAGAACCAATAAGAGATGACGTTATAGAGTGTATACCACCAAGTCAAGATGAGGACAGAATAGCAATCAATCGGCTGATGAATAATAAAGCTGCAGGTGCAGATGGTATCAAATAGTAGCGGTGAAGAGTGCATACCACCTAGTCAAGATGGTCAGAATAGCAATCAATCGGCTGATGAATAATAAAGCTGCAGGTACCTATGGGTTACCAGACGAACTATTCAAGACTGGTGGTCAGATGCTGGTAAGGAGCATGCACCAACTTATGAGTACAATTTGGCTAGAGGAATGCATGCCCAATGCTTGGAACCTCAGCATCTTGTGTCCCGTGCACAAAAAAGGATACATGGCGATATGTGCCAACTATAGAGGAATAAGTCTCCTTCCTATCGCATATAAAGTGCTATCCAGCGTGCTGTGTGAACGACTGAAGCCAATGATCTATGACATTATTGAACCATCCCAATACGGCTTCAGACCTGGCAAATCCACCATTGACCAGATTTTCACTCTGCGCCAAATCCTGGAAAGAATTCATGAAAAACTCACCGACACATCGTCGACTATAAAGCCGCATTCTATAGCCCTACCCGCTCAGAGGTATTTAAAGCCATGCCTGCGTTTGGCATTCCTGCAAAATTAATTCGGATATGCAGGATAACTTTAACTTGCAGCAGTTCAAGTTGGAAAGGTCCTCTCGGAGCCTTTTAATACCAAACGAGGATTAGGACAAGGTGACAGTTTGTCGTGTGACCTTTTTAACATCCTGCTGGAAAAGGTCATACGAGAGGCAAAGATACACCAAACAACACATGTTACTCTCGTACTCCGATGACATCGACATAATGGGTCGAACATTGGGAGCGGTAACAGCCCCCTATGAAAAAATTGACATGGAGTCTGCCAAAGTGGCTCTGGCAGTAAACGGCGAGAAGACCATCTGATGGTATCAACGCGCAAGACTCGGACCAACAGCTTCGAGGTAGTCAAAGATTTCATATACCTTGGTACCACCATAAATAAAACGAATGACATCAGTATTGAAATTCGGATAAGGATAGTGTTGGGCAACAGATGCTGCTGCGAGCAAGCAATTCAAATGCAAGGCCACCTCCCGCCAGACCAAACTCACACTCTACAAGACTCTGACACTACCTGTGCTCAGGGCTGCCATATTTGCCGATTTATCGGCATTTTGACGATTTTTCACTCTAAAAATGGAAAATGACGATTTTCCGATTTTTGCCTCAGAATTGCCGATATTTCAACAATCGACACAAATTGTCTAAATTTTTAATTTAATACGGCGCTACCGTACAAAAATATAAAATTGGCAGCTTTAAATCATTATAACTATCGGCGACTCACCGCAGCCGTTTTCAATGGCTTAGATATCTGCATTTTTTGTCAGCATTGTACTCTGTCTAGTTTACATTTTACATCGAATAAGGCAAAATTAAAAATAAACGAATAAAAAGTGCGCACACGAAAGATCTCACTAGTGTACATAATAATTACTATATTTTAGAAAAATCTACATTTTTTGTAGAAAAATTAATATTTTATGTTATTTTTTTTATACAGAATTGAATTTGTTATCTTTTTTAATGTAATAAACAATATTGATTTGTTATAAACCAAAAAAATATGCATTTATTTATAAATTATATGCTGCCGATTTTTAAAAATACAAATGCCGATTATGCCGATTTTTTTCTGAAAAATTGACGATTTTTCATGAAATTTAACTGGCAGCACTGCCTGTGCTGTTATATCGATCTGAAGCATGTGTAGTTGCACAAACAGATGAGGCAGCTCTTGGAGTATTTGGGAAAAAAATCTCCGAAAGATCTATGAGCGTTTTGCGTTGTCGGTGAGGTCATGCTGTAAGAATGGATGAAGATGCCCCAGCCCAAAAGGCATATAAAAGCGAACCAGCTGATGGTTCACGCATAAGGGGAAGGACCACGAATAAGATGGAAAGATCAAGTGGAAGACAACATTGTCGAATATGGTCTTTCAAATAGGAAAAGCGGCACAAAAGACCGACGCGCCTGGAAATCTTTTCTAAGCTCGGCTGATGGAACGAAAGTTCTGTCACAAGCCAGCTAAGTGAGTAAAATCAGCAAATGATATTCTATAGAAAGTATCCTCAAAGGATCCTAAAAAAAGAAATAAAAATACTATAAAAATAAAACTTTCTTGAGGTTTTCTAAGAAAAAACCCTAGTAAGGAAAGTTCAAAATTCGGAAGATTGGAAATTGTACTAAATTTGAAAAAATGTCGATGAATTTCTAAATTTGTAAAAATTATTACTGGTGGATTTTAGAATTGGGATATGTAGGAAGTTTTGGAAGCTCGTACTTATATGTACTAAATTTGGTACAATTTTTATTTTTGTGAACCGATCGAGCTGGAATCCTGAAATTTAGAAATATAATTACTGTTGGTGTGTATGTTGGGCGTATGGATGTAGTTTTAGAAATTTGTACGTAGGAGTACTAAATGGTACTAAATTTGATACAATTCGGATTTAGTCGAACCGATCGGGCTGGAATTCTGAAATTTGGAATCAAGGTTAATGTTGGAGTGTTGGATTGGGACAAGAATGTATTTTTGGAAATTTGTACTTATATGTAGTAAATAGTACTAAATTTGATACAAGTTGGATTTAGGTGAACGTGTAAAGCTGTATTCCTTAAATTGGTAAAAATTTTGTACAATTTAGATTTGAGTGAACTGAAAGGTCTGTAATCCTGAAATTGGGAAAAAATGATTTCTGTTGGATGTTGTTGAGGTACATAGTAGGGAAGTTGTGTACTAATTGCTACTAAAATTGATACAAATTTGATTTTAGGGGAACCGATAGATCTGTAATTTTGTAAACAGCTAAATTTCTGTCAGAATTGGTGTGTAGTGTTGAGATATGGAGGTAGTTTTGGTAGTAGTTTTTTTTTATAAAAACAAATATTTATTGGTGGGGAAAGCATGGAAGACTATAGTTTCGGATCTCGCCATTGATCCTCATAAGTTCCCTTAGTTTTTTGTTGGGATATTCTCCACAGAAGCTATTTAAAGCTTCTTTACAAAAAATCTTTCATACCCAAGTGTCTCTTATAACAAATCGAAATACTTACGTTACAGCGATACCACTTCACTGAGAAATTCGTTGGTGCCTGACTTCGTGGTTAACGTTAATGCTAAAAAAATATCAAATATTCCAATCCCAATAGAATTAAAACACATACGTACATTTATTTTTGTTAAACACTGGGGTACTTCATAAAGTTTTCATATAATATATTTTATAAGTTTTTCTTTTTCTCTTTTTTTTGGTTTTAAAAACATATCTCTTGTTCATTATGCTGTTCTATATAATCTATATATGTATTTGTATAAAAAACCTACAATAATTTTTAATATAATATTTTTTTGTAAAACAAAAACTTCGTTAAATTATTTTTCAAAATTCAGACCAATTGTTAATGATGTTCTTTGTTATTGTTCGAGAGAAATTAAATACTTTTCAATAGTCTATATATATTTGTTATTTTGATTTATGTTAACAATTTCTTGAGATTTTTTAGCAAGTTATTTTTTATTAAAGTAGGGTTAGAATTCGAATGATTATAGAATTGACGGTAAATGTAATAAAAATGTTGGTAAAACGAAAATATGGAAAAAATGTAAAAAAATAACATATTGATACGTTGGAAAAAATAAAACAATAATATATTATTAACTAATAAAAAATATATTTAATTGGATTTATATAAAAAAATTAATATAGCATGACACGTGATTGTTCGAAATGGTTTTGATTTTTTAATAATCTGTGAATACTGAAAAATACAAACACAAATAAAATGCGCACTTTTGGCAATTTGTTAAAACATGATGTACATTTGTTGTATATAAAAGTGTGTGTGTGTGTGGACAGCATAGAACATTTTTTTGTGCTTAAACATAATTGTATATTAAAAAAAGATCGTATTAAACTGAAACATATAAAGACGACAACATTATAGAAAACGTATATTGCTGAGTTTTTGTAAATGGAAAAAATTGGGTTTTAGAACTGTGCTGTTCGCAGAAACATAATAATTGCAAACGGAAATATAAGTAGTTTGAAAAAAAAATTCATAATAATAATAAAGGAATTTATAAATGGACCTTTAGAGATTCCATACGTGCAACAATACGGCGACGTAATTCAGCATATCTGCAAAGAAAAAATTTACAAAAAAAATTAAATTAGTAATTAATAAAATTACACCACTGAGTTTTCCAACAAGGAGTATTATTTTGAATGGAAAGACACTGGCGTAAGTAAATCAGATGATTACGCCCTGTATTATAGCTACCATGAAACGAGGCATGAATTTGGCTGCGGATTTATGGTTAATATGATAATAAAATACCTCATTTCCCGATTCACTCTATGAGCGAATTGCTATAATCCGTATAAAAGCGAAGTTCTTCTACATCAGTCTCATTTGCGCCCATGCTACGATCGAAGACAATGATGAACAGACCAAAGACATATTTTACGAGCGCCTAGAAACTGCATATGACCTCTGCCCAGTCCATGACATTAAAATTCTGCTAGGAGATTTTAATGTAAAAATCGAAAGGGAAAATATTTTTGACCCCACCGTCGGAAAAATCAGCCTCCATGAAGAAACATCAGAACACGGCATGAGTTTTGACTTCGCGGCAGCAAAAAAAACATGGTAGTTAGTAGCACCAGATTCAAGCATCTCGATATACACAAGGCCACCTGGATTTCTCCTGATCAAGCAACGAGAAACCAAATTGATCATGTTGTGATAGACGGAAGGCATTTTATCCAGTGTTCGATCGATCTGAGGAGCGAATATCGTTTCGGACCACTACCTTGTAGCAGAGAGTGTTTTAGACATTCGATCGATCCGAAGAGCGAATATCGTTTCGGACCACTACCTTGTAGCAGACAAGGTTCGCACTTGTCTTAATTTAGCAGCAAATGAGCGATCTAACACAACACGGAAACGATGTCCAAAAGCTGCAAACACAACAGGTGGCTGAAGCTTTGGCTTGAAGGCTTTGGTGCAGGCATATCCTCCTGTAGAGATGAAGAGGGAAACCTGGTGACAGATACAGACAGCATGTTGAGGATCTGGAAGGAGCATTTTGAAAAGCTTCTGGTATCAAATAGTGGCGGTGAAGAAGATACTCCAGAACCAATAAGAGATGACGGCATAGAGTGTATAAGACCTAGCCAATATGAGGTCAGAAAAGCAATCAATGGGCTGAAGAATAATAAAGCACTAGGTACCGATGGGTTATCAGCCGATGTATTCAAGACTGGTGGTCTGATGCTGTTCACGAGCATGAACCAGCAGATTACTACAATTTGGCTAGAGGAATGCATGCCCAATGATTGGAACCTCAGCATCCCGTGTCCCGTGCACAAAAAAGGAGACAAGACGATATATGCCAACTATCGCATATAAAGTGCTATCCAGCGTGCTGTGTGAACGACTGAAGCCAATGGTCAATGACATTATTGAACCATACCAATGCGGCTTCCGACCTGGCAAGCCCATCATTCAGGCACGGTGGCTTTTGAACATCCTGTTGAAAAAGGCGATACGAGAGGCCTTGTTGATATCTGTGTCTACAAGTTTGGTTGACCAGTCCTGAACTGTTTGGGGTTGTACTGGTAATCGCTTTGGCTATGAATCTGACCGAATTTTTTTGGTAGCACAGGTGGCAGGGGCAGTAGGTCCAGGATCTAGTCTGACAAGTTGGGGAGCATCGGGCTGGAGGCAGTGGTTTAAACCCAAATCGCGGATAAATTTTACGCTTGGTGTGGAGTTGTATTGCCTGACCCTTAGAAAGAAGTTTAGATGGACTCTGCTCCTCATCCAAGGAGGGGATCACGTCCAATTTTAGGTGATCTATTGGTACCTACACTTCGGTGTGGGAGTGGGTGTGGTTGACGCTTTGTATTAACTGGTGTTTATAGCACCGTGCGGTAAGACCGGAAAGTAGGTATCCATGTACTCTAAATGTCTCTATGCCTACAAGTTATACAGGGTTAGTTGCAAAGTGATATGAGGTTATATCATGGTCAACCTCAAATGTTCAATGAAATCTTTCCTTACGATTTAATTGAGCGAACCGGCTCTTTCCGTCTCAACCAAGACAGTATCCTAACCCATATCTGAGACGAACGAGAATGACGCTAAGATACCACAACGCTGATGCAAGTGAAGGTGAATTATCAAAGTTGTTGGGCTGGCAATGGGGGATAGTGGCAAATCGACGCTTCCTAGGCAAGCGGATGCTGGTGTTATGACCTTCCCATTGAACCCAAAAAACATCACGACAAAGACAACCCGAAACGTCCCATAGTGTGTATGCAATAGAGCTGCTATAACATCAACCAAATGTGCCAATGCTAAGGAAGTATCCGACAAAAAGATTTTCCAAAGAGCAGTTAACAACTGCAACGGGTTCAACGAACGGGATAGGAATTCGATTAACGGCAAGGAATTCCTTCAGCCCAAAGGAACGACTATAGTACTTTTTGCCTAACTTCCTTTCTACATAAAACATTAGAAAGGTTGCTGGGCCTTGATATTAGAAACTCTCTTGATTAAATATCAAAGGCAATTCACTCTTTAAAAAACTCCGAGGATGGTATTCACTCTGTATTCTCTCAGCGCTGAGGCTACCACATCAGTTTAAAAGCTATTTGGACCATATCGATAGGCAACTTGATCTGAAGGCTCCCCTTTTGTAACGTTGGATCACTTATATTCCTCATGACACGCCTGGATGATTCTGCCCGAAGCACTCTAACATATTGTCATGCTGATGTAAGGAGGGGTATTCGACTTTTCATCAAAATGATCCACTGGTATGACGAGGCATACTGTTTATTTTCATATCCCGTTGGAATTTATGTTTTTGTAATTTTGCGGTGAGCGGAAATAATTCCCGCCTTCGAAAAGAAGGGAAAACGACAACAGCAACAAAACTTTGTTAATTTTACACTTCTCCTTTACACATTTTACCCTTCTCCTGTGCAAAGTTACAAGCCGAAATTTTATATATCATAATAGAAACAGGCGAACCAGGTCGTAATCTTTTTTAATGTGCTATTGTCAGCAAATCATTACCGATGTTCGAAATTTGTTTATCTTTATAACACTTCCGTTCGAAATACAGTTTTCTCCACGAAATATTTATCAATATTAACAAAATAATAAATACTTACTTATCTTTAACTTTGGTTACTTCACGTTCCAATTCTTGATCGTAACGTTCTAGAATTGCACGACATTCGGGTAATGATAAATTTAAAAATTGAGCAACTTCATTGCTGAAAATTAAAAATAAAAAATATTTTTAAAGTGAAATTATTTATACGTATACGACGACATTAACAAAACCCTACCTTATTTCATCGGTTTTCTTGGCATCAACTAAAAATAGTTTGGCAACATCTTCATGGGGACCCAGCATAATACGTGTAATCAGGGGATATTCATTTTCCTTCAGACGTTTCTGTTCACCATTGTCACGTATTATAAAGAGGGAAAAATTCTCAGCAGGGCTATCGACTTTATACTTTTCCAAAAGTAAATTGATTACTTCTTGTGTTGTTACCAGTGATGTTACCCAAACGGACATTTGTGAACCATAGGGTGGTGTAAAGAATGATGTTTCGCGATTGTAAAAATGTCCGTTTATGGAACAACGACGTTTGAGTTTTGTGCGGGATCTAAAATGAAAACAAATACCATTTATATTTCATAACAAATAAATGGAAATAAAAATAATTTACCTTCTATTACCACTACGCCTCTTAATGGCTGCAGCACCGGTACGTGGTGGCCGTCGCAATACCACACCATCTTCGGTAACATGTAACGGCTGATCATCATCATCCAAATGCTCCGGATATTTACCCCTATTGCTTGATCTATCACCACCTGTGGCCGTAAACATTTCCTCCGTCTGGGTCAATTCATCACCCGCTGCAGCACCACTTTGTGATGTTGTTGATTGGCCACCAGCATTTTCCTGACGACTCGAATCACATTCACTACTACCCGCTGCCTGCTGTTGATGCTGCTGTCCACTCTCTTTGGGATAACAATTCATATTGATTTGTATAAAACGTGGTGGTATATCACTCTTGCGTATTGTTGCCGAAATATGATCACCAGGACCCAGTTGATGTGCCGATCTACGCTGTGGCTTCAGAGTCGAATCATCGTCGTCGTCATCACTGGACGAGTAGGCCGCCATACATGAGGGGCCAGATTTTGAACGATTTATACCCTTTTCAAAACGTCCATTTGTTATAAGTTGCGCCTGCGCAGAACCACTTTTTTGCAAAACATATGGTGAACGTTTCTGTGGTGAACCACCACCCTCCGCAGACATCCGCAGGGCCAGGGTATCATTTATAAACGATGCATCGATGGAACGCAAGGCATGTTCACAATTAAAACTTTTACTCATTGGATTATCGCCGCCCGATGCTTGGCTATAAAGTTTCAAGGAGTCGTGTATACGTGATGGATCTATGGGTTGATTACGCTTTAATGTGTCATCATTGTGTTCTTGAAATGAATTGGCACCATTAACATAGTCCTGATGGACGCTACGTTTAAAATCTTCAAAGTCCATGGGTTTCAGAGTGGCATCATCGGAGGTTTCATAATTATCTACAGTGGTAGTGGAAGTGGTGGCATTGGTTGTGGTTGTGTCCCTCGAGTTGCTCGTGGTGGTTGTAGCCATCGAACCGGTGGCTGTTAAGAAATTATCCGAAGAAGTGGTATTGTTGGAAGTTGTTGCCGAGGAAGGTGACGAAACAGGTGAGGAAGATGTTGTGGAGTTCTTGGAAGAGGTTATATCCTCCAGATTTGTTGTATCGGTACTCAATTGATTGGATACGGTTTTTGAACTATCCGATGTTGGTGTTGAGGAGGAAGAATTTTGTGGTGATGTTGAGGGTAAACGCACCGGCATGGTTTCATAGATTTTATCTTTTTCACTGACACGCCTTTCCACTTTCAATAAATCATCAATTTCATCCCATTCCAAGTTTACCAATTTATCCAATTTCGAGGGCAGTGTTGAGCTAACACCATTCGTCGTTGTTGTTGTCAGAGATGAACATTGATCATCACACAATGTGGATGTATTGGTCGATGATGTATCGTCACCACCACCGCCATTTACAGCTCCAACATCCCCACCACCATTTGTCAATGTCTGTGTCCCTGTGGTATTGGCAGATGCATCCTCTGGCGTTGTTGGTAAATCGGGAAATTCATTTAAACTACACGAATCGAATGACATACTTTCGGTGAGTGATATGTCTGTTGATATGGCATCGACTTGATCACTGGTGGTGGTACCAACATCTAATGATTCACTACCATCATTATTCTCTTTGTCAGACGAATCGGCTTTTGACATACGACACGAATTGCGTTTACGCACAACAAATGTCCGCTGATCATCATCCTCCTTAAGATGTATAACACCCTGTACACCCCAATATACACGCAAGGCCCCTTCGAGAATTAGACGATTGTTGACTTCTCTGCTACGCACTTCCATGCTTTTATTGTCGTAAAATTGATTATAGACCTGAAATGTTTAGAAAAAAGAAATTAGATTTTAAGTGGTTACAGAAAATATCGACAGGAAAAACAATTTAAAGAATAATTGGATTCTTCCAAAAAGATTAATAATCGCATATATAAAGAAAATTTGTAATTAAAATTTGTTATCATTTTAACGGATGGTAGAAAGGAGAAGAGGAAACATAGTTTCCGGGCTATGTATACATGTGGAATATAAAAAATAATACTTCTAATTCGTCAAATCGCCATCCGAAGTATACATTTATAAAGGTTGAGATCATAGTGAATATGTGTTTAGGTGATTAAGATGTCCGGGAAATAGGAGAAGTGTAGTGTGTCATGTAGACCATCACTACATGCTGAACAGATGCACCATTTCATCCATTCGCGCCTCAATACAAACAGGTGTCAACAAAACCACTCTGTTTTTTTTCTCAGTAACTGTTGCTCTGGATATTCTCCGATGAATGTATTCATCATATGCATCGGTTTGTTATAGGCCTGTTGATATGGATTCTCTACTTTGTAACTCGTATATCGACAAGCCAGGTCGGAGGATGGAGATTTGGATAGTTGTGTGTTGACCTATTCCTGTTATCATTAACATGGCATGTGAAATTACCCAGCATCGGAGATTATTGCCGGTATGAGTGAAGTGGTTGTAAGTTTGGGCATGTGCTTATGTGGCTGCAGCACTCTGAGACCGTCAGGTCCATTATGATCATCACGAAAAGAAAGAGATATGGATAAAATAGGGGAGAGATAAGAAGCTTGCAAGAAAATGTAAGAAGGTAAGTTTGAAATGGTATCGATGGCTATCTTCTGTCCGATCTCAATAGCCATCGATAATATTTCAAACTTACCTTCTTACATTTTCTTGTAAACTTCTCATCTCTCTCTCTATCCCCTATTTTCTCCATATCTCTCATATTACGTGTTAAGGTTGCAATTTCCCAAACACTTTAGGTTTCTAATTATGCTGTAGATTAGAGCAGGTTCAGTTGTAGAGAAGAAACTAAGACTCGGTGGAAATGAGTGTTTAGATAATTCGTCTGCTATTTCACTACTCATGATGTCACGGTGTCCTGGTACCCAACACAGCCGATGGTTGTAAGTAAGTTCTTCCAATGCTGTTCTACACATGAGGACGGCCTCAGATTTGATATAACAATATTTGATGGCCTCTATTTGACGACCTCTGCATCCATACTTTTTATCAATTCCGCTGTCTTCCAAATCGCCGAGATTTCAGCTTGGGAAACACTACAGTTGCAATCCAGCTTGGGCCTAGCCTTTCACAGTAGATACCAGCCCCTGTACCTTCTTTCATCTTGGGTCCGTCTGTATAGAAAGCCAGACCGTCCAGAGGAGGGTTACTCCGGTTCAGTCGTCTCTACTAGGAATAACGACATCTACATCGTCAAATCTCAGAACAGGTGATATATAGTCGCTTAGTTTTACGCGTTGATCCAATGTCATACCTGGTTCGTTCAAGATACAACCATGCCCAATGGTAAAACTTCGCCAGAGGTTTTGTCCACGCAGCCCTAGGGCGCTACGTGCGGCCTGACACTTAATGTAGATCCCCAGAGGCTTTAAGTTGAGCATTGAGTTCAGGGCTGCTTGTGGCGTGCTCCTCATGGCTCCTGTTATTAAAATCGAGACGGCTCTTTGTACCTTATCTAATTTGCTGGATGTAGACTTGTGGCGCAGGCAGTTCCACCAAACAAGAGAGCCATAGGAAAGGATGGGCCTCACCACGGTGTTATACAGCCAGTGTATAGTCGATGGTTTTAGCCCTAAGCTTTTCCCAATGGAGTTCGCCCGCTCCTCAGCGTTCCTATTCCATCGTAATTGACAGTCCAGAATTGTGCCAAGGTACTTCGTTTCGGGTGATAGATGAAGTTGCACTCCATGATCAATATTGAACAATGATTCAGGACAGCCCTCATATAACGACGGAATCTGCATTTTTGGGTACTTAGGTGGTTTGGGTACCTTATCCAGGAAAAATTTAGGTACGTTTTCTACCAAAAATGATCAATGTCGATATACATTGTGGCATAGCTCCTATATACAATACCTATTATTTTTTTTGATATTTTGTCAGACTTCATTTAATCGAAATTGGCTCTAAATTGATATTTTGCCTCATTTTAGGGTTGACCGTTTGGCCTCATTAAAGGCAAACGGTCAATATGTTAAACAATTGATCCAATTTCAGAACCTGAGTGCCTATAGTTTTGTATATTTTTTCACAGGAGATAAACCACTACCTTAGCCTCTTTTTAAAAATACCAACCGATGTAAGGTTTGTTGTTGGTCCCCGTCATGTTGGAGGTTATAAAACTTTCTTTTCAATAAAAGAAAAACACCAACAATACCTTTAATTTCGATTCCAAATGATCTCTGGGTAACGATGGACCATTTTGTTGTCCTGGTCTTTGAAATGTTTTATTGCCAAAACTTTTATGAGATTCTACACGAGTACCATGACCAAACAGTTGTGGCCCAAACAGGGCACCATAGCATGGTACATGACAGTAAGGCACACCTTTATGCTGCAAGACAAAAAAGAAAACAACAACAAAATTAACAATTAAAATTTATTGTGACACATCCATAGCAGAACACACCCACCTCAGCATGTTGTCCGGGATTTAAACGTTTGCCACACTCCTCGCAGCGTAAACATTCAGGATGCCAATCATAGCCCAATGATTGTTTACGTTCCGCTAAAGTAAATTAGAGAAAAAAATATTTAAATTATTGTCCCTTCAGGCAGAATTGAGGTCAACGAACTTACCAAAATATACGGGTTTTCCGCACTTATGACACTTCCACATTTTGTTGCGGGAAAATTTATTTTTTTATTATGGAAATCCTATATTAAGAGGCTTGCTCCAATTTTGATTTTTTTATTTGTGTCCGTGTGTGTGTGGTTGTGTGCGTTCTTATGTATGACCCCAGCAGCAGCACCAACATCCAAATGCATGAAAATCAGGCTGAAAGAATGAATTTTATTGTTTTTAAGTGGGCAGCCCAAAAGGTAATTGAACTTAAATGGCCTAAAAATCTCAACTCAGCGAAGGGGAAACAAAGAACTACAAATACGCTGCGACAACAAATGGTGGCAGGCAGGCTATTTTTAATCGCGCACAGTCATGACTTATATTCACAAAATCCTTACATTTTTAAGCCAGAATCAAGAAACAGTTTTAATTCAGATCGAGAATTTTGTTTTGGAAAATCTTTTTATTCTTGGTATTGAAAATTTCTGGGATATTCTCTGGTCCGTTGTATACAACTCTTACTCTTCTTCGCTCGCCACCGATGTAGTTGTAGGTACGTGTTTTGTTTATTAAAAAAAATTCCAGCGTATTATAAATTTATAATTTATGCATATTCACAGAATACGCTGCTCTATTCACTCGCTTGATTTTTTTCTGAGTTCTCCGCCGCCTCCTTCTTTTTGTATTTTTCTTATTCCATGTATGATTTTTATTATTGTGGCTAGTGCTCTTCTCTGTCGCTGGTCATTCACAACCAAACGTCTATGCTGCTGCTACCGTGCCGCTGCTTTGGTTCACTCACTGACTGCGTATGCTTTGTCTATCCGTCTAACCAACGAAACTACTACTACACACACACATACACTTGCACCTGTTTCTACTCTTATGACTTTTGTTTATTTTATTAATTGTTTATATTAAATTCCATATTCATACCAGAAAATGTAAAAAAACGTCCAAACTTTTTTTATTTTCATAGAAGTTATTTTTCGTGCTCGCTTAACTTTGCATTTTTTTGCCCATTTACAACATTCTTGTGTGGCAGAATTGTGGAAAATTGCACTTACAGATTTCATGCAACCATGTTCGCAAACAAGAAAATTTAAAAAACGTTCCACTTGCCAAAGAATGGAGAAGACAAAATGACCGATAAAGAAGAAATCAAAGTAGGTTAACGAAATATTTACGAATGAGATGGGATGGAGAGACTACATGAGTGGAATAGGGATAATACGGCCGACATTTGAGTAATCGACAAAGTCGATTGCAATTTATCGATTATTGTCACTTTACGATTGACAGATACCTAATAGAGCGGCTGATTTTTTGTTGTTGTTTATACTGTGCAAGTTGTTAGCAAATACAACCCTGATTATTGAATCATTTCATTGATCAGGATAGAAAATACTAAATCATTTTAATTTTCCAATTTTTTAAAGATATGCATTTAAAGAACAAGTTTTGAATAAACAAAAATTACATAAAACTTGGTCCACACAGAAATGACAAAAATCGGGATAAATAAATACTTAAAAATCCACGTTTCTATCAGGATGGAGAAAGTATTCAAAAAAAGACTTCATTTTAATGGCATTTACATTAAAACTTTTTTCCGAGTTAACCAACTTTATTATTTATTTGACATTTATAAAATGGAATTTACATTTTTAACCCACTGGATTAACACAATCCGGTATAATGTAACTTACTACTTAGCTGGCTTATGACAGAACTTTCGTTCCATAAGCCGAGCTTAAAAAGCATTTCCGGGCATGTCGTATCCATATAACAGTGAGGGTAGTATCAACGTCTTGTAGTATATGTATTTGGTGTGGCGGGAGGTGGAATTGTTTCTAAACTGCTTACTTAGACCATAGTAGCATTTGTTGGTCAACACTATTCTCCTCCGGATTTCAAAGCTTATGTTATTAGTTTTGTTTATGGCGGTCTTGCTCGTTAATACCATCAGTATGGTCTTTTCGCAATTTACTGCCAGTCCCAGATTGGCAGACTCCTTCTCAATTCGTTGAAAGGTGGCGATTAGCGCTCGCAATGTAAACGTACTATTAAATCGTGAAAGAGCAAATATTCTTTAAAAAATATTCTTCCAAAAATCCACATTTGTATCAGGCTTGAAAATAAAATTCGTTAAAAATCCTGGGCTGTTTAGGCTTGAACGAATTTTTTTTATTCCACACGGGATCTCACCAACCGGTACGGCCGCCAGAATACCTCCCTCCCGAAGTGGTTCAAGGCCATTGACTGCCATAGTAAGGAACTCAACGGTTTCCTTATTCCCACAGTTTATGACCTTGGCCCTTTATAGAAGAAGCTCCTGCCGAACCGTAGATGTTGATGGTCAACCTCAGTCAGTCAGGAAAATGATCTTCAGATGTCTTTTGAGTTGCATCCAATGACTATCGCTGATCTTCCCATCGGGATCAGATTTGTCAATGATTTCTACTCTCTTGTCATCTGGGACCTTGAAAATAAAATTCTTGAAAATAATATTCGTTAAAAAATCTTGGGCTGTTTAGGCTTGAACGATTTTTTTTTATTCCACACGGGATCTCACCAACCGGTACGTCCGCCAGAATACCTCCCTCCCGAAGTGGTTCAAGGCCATTGACTGCCTTAGTAAGGAACTCAACGGTTTCCTTATTCCCACAGTTTATGACCTTGGCCCTTTATAGAAGAAGCTCCTGCCGAACCGTAGATGTTGATGGTCAACCTCAGTCAGTCAGGAAAATGATCTTCAGATGTCTTTTGAGTTGCATCCAATGACTATCGCTGATCTTCCCATCGGGATCAGATTTGTCAATGATTTCTACTCTCTTGTCATCTGGGACCTTGAAAATAAAATTCTTGAAAATAATATTCGTTAAAAAATCCTGGGCTGTTTAGGCTTGAACGAATTTTTGTTATTCCACACGGGATCTCACCAACCGGTACGTCCGCCAGAATACCTCCCTCCCGAAGTGGTTCAAGGCCATTGACTGCCTTAGTAAGGAACTCAACGGTTTCCTTATTCCCACAGTTTATGACCTTGGCCCTTTATAGAAGAAGCTCCTGCCGAACCGTAGATGTTGATGGTCAACCTCAGTCAGTCAGGAAAATGATCTTCAGATGTCTTTTGAGTTGCATCCAATGACTATCGCTGATCTTCCCATCGGGATCAGATTTGTCAATGATTTCTACTCTCTTGTCATCTGGGACCTTTGGCGAGTAGCCGTTAGGGTTTGAAGGTTGTTGAGCATACTTATCATTAGGTCCACCTTTCGTTTCCCCGATGATAGGCTTCTCCTTTACCTTCTTCGATGCCACTGCATGTGAGACAGAGGGTTGCGTGGTCAGCAGCAGCGAGGATTTCTTTGCAGTAGGTAGCTGTTCGTCTGTCGACCTCATCCTCTTCTCCACCTGAGGCTTTATAGAGGAGTTAGCTTTCTTCCGAACAACTACCGCTGTTGAAACCAAGTTTGCTGCCGTTTCAGCTGCAGCCTTACTGCCTGTATTTGCAGGAGCAGATGTTCCTTTACTTCGGTTGCCCGTTGTCTCCACCTTTGTAGAGGCCTTGACAGGAGCAATCGATGTACGCGATGTAGGAATTCTATCGATTAAGAGCTCCCTATCGGCCATGTGAGGATAGTCCCGTTGGTACTTCCTCACTACCTTTAGTTGTTTCTTAATCAATTTGAAGTCCTTATCGCTGATGGAACTAGGATCGTGGTCGACATACTTCTGACAGAAACAGACTGCCCTTCGGTATGACTTCCTGTCCATTGCCTCTTTGGACTTGACACTTTTGGTTGCAGTAGTCATCAACGGGGTTTCCAAGATTTCCTTGGATTGTCCACTCTTGACTTCTGTTCCCTCCGTTGCCAGTTGTCTTCGAAGCAGTGTTGGTCTATCGGCTGCCGCCGACGTTTTTATGACAGATTCCGCCATCGGTGGGTTGGTATCGCCAGTAGTCCGAGACCGAATTCTTAAATAGGTTGTTTGACCTTGTGGAATGAGAGACTGATGGTGCCAAGGCAGCCACACCAACTTCAGTCGTAGAAGATTTTTTGTTTTTGTTTTTAGGGGTTTTTGAAAATTTACTAGGCTTCATAGTAGTTGAGTAAGTGGAGGACAAGATATCGACCATGGCAAGGACTCGGCAACTAAACCTAATACTGGTTGAGGCGCCCAGGTATCAACCAGGCTCCGTTAGAATACAGTCGGTACCCTGACTGCAAAACAGAAACACTGAACCGTGCCGCGTTACACCTCAGCGTTAGGGGGTCGTCCTTTAGGGCAGGGGACCAGGAACCCATGAGTATTGGTTCATTTGGGTGCCAATTGTTTTGCCTCGTTAGTCTAAGGATCATTGGCACTCGGTCATTTCCTTCCGAGACTCTTCCCTTAGACACGCTGAATACTGTCCGCGACTGCTTATATAATTCGCAGCTACCCTATAATAGATGTATAGGGCATCCCACTATTCGCAACCTGTGGAAGCGTCCGGTGGCATCCAGCCAGATGCCTCATTACTCTTATTTCAGTTTTGTTCAGGTGCAACAGTAAGTGAACCTAAACTCCTTGCACATTAGAACTTTTTACCGGGTTAACCTACTTTATGAGGATTTATTTGACATATATGCAAAGGAAATGACAATTGAAACCCACTGGGTTAACGAAATCCGGTTTAATGTAAACGTACTATTAGGTTCGTTGTGCCAGAGTTCATAGGCTCTTTCGTCGAAGAATGCCTCAAAGTTCCGGTAAAAATGACTTATGGGTGGTTTGGTTGAGTCATCAGTTGCTAGATCTGTGGATTGGGATCCTCGTCTAGCTAGTTGTCCGCTCTTTCATTACCCAAGATGTCACAATGTCCGTGTACCCAACACAACCGATAGCTGTAAGAAAATTCTTCCAAAGCTCCTCTACACTTCAGGACGGCCTCAGATTTGATATAACAAGATTTGATGGCCTTAAGAACCGCTTGACTATTCACGAAGATAGTCACCGGTTCAACGACCTCTGCATCCAGATCCGCTGCCTTCCAAATCGCGAAGATTTCAGCTTGGAAAACACTACAGTTGCAATCCAGCTTGTAGGTTAACTCAAGCCTTTCACAGTAGACACCAGACCTTGTACCTTCTTCCATCTTGGATCCATCTATATAGAAGGCCAGACCGTCCAGAGGAGGGTTACTTCGTAAATATAGGAATATCTACATCGTCAAATCTTAGGATAGCATAGCCTGCTTTTCCACAGGCAGATTTTTATTTGGCAAATTTTTTGTTTTCACTTTTGAAATTTTCGCTTGCTTTTCCATTAGCAAATTTTTCTTTGCCAAATTTGCGAATCAAAATACAAAAGAAAGAAAATAAAAGTCAAAAGTGTTTGCATTTTAAAGATTTTTTTTAATATTTTATTTATTTTTTATATATTTTATTATATAAATTGCAAAAATTAAAAATTAAATTTCACTTGCACAAATTAAAGCAACAGGTTTGTAAACAAAAGCCGGCTGTGTGTCAGTAAAGCGAATAGGTTCAAAAGGAAATGTCAACAAAATTGTTTTCAACGAACAGAGCAAAGCTGAATTTGCGTGTACGGCAAATTCTGAACAGGCAAATTTTTGTTTTTCTTCCTCGCACCCCTCTCGCCTACAAACTCAGTATTTGCCAAATAAAAATTTGCCTGTGGAAAAGCAGACATACAGGATATAGTCGGTGACGGCTAGGATTTTTTATCGAATCTTTTTTAAGAATTCTCAGGCCGTGATTTTTTTAATATATTTTCTATAATGTCAATTTTATAGCGTATAGGTGGTCATCTTAATCATATTCACAAATCCAGCGTATTATTTTTGACGTATAAGCTTTAGAATTTACTTTTGAGAAAGAGTGGATTTCGTTACTCTAAACGCACTTTTAGGAGTGTCTCCATCAGATGCTAAAACCCGATACGATCATCTTTTAAATGACTACCATTTCTCGTTCAGCATGGACTTCTTCAAAATCAGGGCTTCGACCGCTTCAAAATGATATTCATATTTTCATTGTTCATTTTAAAACAAATGGAAAGAAATTGATTCCAACGGTACTTTTTAAGTCTATATTTCAAAAAGTGTAGACTTACACCAGGAAAAATGTGTCTAGTTGTAAACAATACCTTGAGAACTATTTTTCTATTTAAAATCTGTCCTGTATATATCTACCAACATTCTAAGCATATATTTTGTATGGTGTAAACATGCCATAACCCAACCGCCAAAATACAACCCTGCCAAAGAGACGTCAATCAGAAAAATGGTATTTGCAAAAAGTATTCGGTAGCTGGTAGTTGTTATCTATGGGGGAAAGTGGGTACGTTGACGATGTTTAGTTTTTATTAGTAGTTCGCTTATTGTTGGCAGTTTTTTCTACTTTCTGCAAAATAAATAAATATAAAATTTCATAGAAAACCGAAAGTCTGGAAACAACGAAACCTTGCAAAACGCAACAATTTGCAAAAAAGAGAAAGAAAGCCAATAAAAAGTAGATAGTGATCTAAATTCAACAAGCAAATACGTGATTAATCAAGATTATAACGTAAAGTGAAGTCAAGAAGACGGGTGTGTGTGCATTCGATTAATGTGAAACAAAAAAAATAAAGGAAAACGGGATAAAAGAGGATACGCTTCGTTGAAACAACGAAATACACAACGATACAATTGTTGGGAGAGTACACAACAGGATCCCGAAGCGCAACAGCTGAAACAGTGATTTGTATTCTTATTGCCGTTGTTGCTGCTGCCATTGTTGTTGTTTTTTATGTGTTATAAATGCTGTAAAGGAATCTTGAAAAAATTAGTTTAGTTGAAAAAGCTGTATCCGTCAGTCAGTCAGTGGATCCAGCGGTATTCATATGTACATATTACTTACTACTGACACGGATGCACCAAAGACAAAAACAACAACAACAATAAAACGGGTTAAACCATTTTTTATTTTTGAAGATTTACTTTTTGTTACGCGCTAGTGTCTGAGTCTGTGTGTGTGATTAATTTTGCTTTGCATTTATGCGAATGTGTCTGCATGTGAAGTTATAAGGGGAAAAACAACAATAACAACAACACCATACAACCAACAAACACAAAAACTGGCTAAACATGAGACCTACCATCGAGTTTGAGGAATGTCTCAAGGATTCTCCAAAGTTTAGGTAAGTCAACAGAAAACCAAAACATAGACAACACACACACACACACACACACAAATTACAACTTCTTAGAAACACAACAACAAAACACACAGAAGAGGAACCCAGACGTAAACCCAAATTTGTTGAACATAAAAATAAAATGTGTTGCTGCAAAATAGGGTTGTTTGTCGTGTTGTTGATATTTACTGGTCGTCACCAGCTATTTGAGGATGACACACAAAGCAAAAGCCCAGTAAAAAATGTGTTAAATTCGCTTTGGTCGAATTTCGTATACCCCTTTTTCACTAGAAAATCTTTCAGAATAATTCGTTCACCGATCAATTCCCATATTTCGTGATGCATGGACTTCCTCAAAAAATTAACATATTAATAATTTCAAGAAAATTAAAAAATCGTAACTCGAAGAGATATATTTAGGTACCTATGCTTCACATATAATTATGGTTCAAAGTTTCATTTTTAAATAAAATAATTTTTTTCTATGGATTGGAATCACTCCATAGCGGTTACACCACAGAATCACCTTTTTAAAACCTTTTGTATTTGACTTGCGTTCGACGGGGATTAAACGTTTTCTGCTATGGACCAATACCGACTTTGAAACAGAATATCATTATAAATGAAGAAGAGAGGGCTGATTGCAGTTATGGGCGCAAGAACTCCATTGGGAAAAGCTGGGGGCTAAAACCATCGACCATACACTGGTTGTATAACACCGTGGTAAGGCCCATCCTATCCTATGGCTCTCTTGTGTTGTGGAACTGTCTGCGTCACAAGTCGACATCCAGCAAATTAGAAAAGGTACAAAGAGCCGCCTCTTGAACGACGAGCCAGGTATGACATTGGACCAACGTGTAAAACTAAGCGACTATATATATCACCAGTCCTGAGATTTGACGATGTAGATGTCGTTATTCCTAGTAGTGGCGACTGGAACCGAAGTAACCCTCCTCTAGACGGTCTGAGTTGTATACAGACGGATCCAAGATGGAAGAAGGTACAAGGGCAGGCGTCTACTGTGAAAGGCTAGGCCTTGAGTTAACCTACAAGTTGGATTGCAACTGTAGTACTTTCCAAGCTGATATCTTCGCGAATTGGACGGCAGCGGAATTGATAAAAAGTCTGGATGCAGAGATCGTTGAACCGATGACTATCTTCGTGGATAGACAAGCGACTCTTAAAGCCATAAAATCTTGTTACATCAATTCTGAGCAGCTATCGGTTGTGTTGGAATCTAAATCTACAGATCTAGCAGTTGATGGCTCAATCATATGCCACGTTTCCACACAGAGGGGTCTACGATCCGAAACGACCCGAGTCTTACTCGACCTACGTCTGTCACCTCAGCCCATTGTGTAAAAGCAATAGGGCTGCTACAGCAACAACCCATGTCATCTTTACCGGAACTATGAGGCGTTCTTTGACGAAAGAGCCTACGCAATGTGTCAAGATCCATTTGGCCGACTCTGTCTACCAAAAGGACACACTCACTGTTGAACCTTAGCAAAGCTGAAATTAGAGTAATGACAGGAATCATTACATGGTCCCACCAGTAAATGGGACAATGATGCTACTGATTACAGTAGACTCTGCGTTGACGAGAAGCCAGGGCTGTGTCACTGTCCAGCCCTGGCTTACAGGCGGCACAGAATAGGGGGTGCTCACTTTCCACCGAGTCTTAGAGTCTTCTCAAGAACGGAACCTGCTATAATCTACAGCATAATTAGAAACCTAAAGTGGTTGGGAAAGTGCAACCTTGACATCTAATATATCTTCTGTGCGATATCTATAGCCATCGACATTATTCCAAACTTACCTCCTTATATCTTCTTGTAAGCTTCTCATTTCTCTTTATTTTCCCAATCTTCTCTCCCCTATAGATCTCTTCTTATCTATTTTCTTCTCATGGATGATCACAACGGACCTGACGGTCTCAGAGTGCTGCAGCCACATAAGTGCCTGCATATCCCCAAACCTAACCTTCCTAACCTAACCTAAACTTAACCTCAAACCTCTCAAAAATCCAATCTATACTTTTTCTGGTCTTTATTCTTTTCCCGTTGTACTAGTTCGAACACTGATCTCCGAATGAAGCGAATGCTATTACGACAGCGTGGTACTGTCAACCAGAACTAACAAACTTTCTCAAAAAGATGTCATTTCTTTGTAATCAGGACATCAACCTCTTCAAAATGAAATCCGTACATTCAAAGAAATTATCCGACTTTTGTCAAAATTTGCACATTGTCATAATTTTGTTCCATAAACCACGATGAATGCTATGGAAATTATTCACTCTTATCCAAACTTTTCATATCGGAATAAATGTTACCAAACCTAAATCAATATCGATACACTTCTTCTGTAATTATGATCTTTCAAAAGGATCCAAATTTTAAAACCTTGTGCCAAAGGGAGTATCCACTTTGATGTAAACATTGCACATCGCAATACGAGTAATTGTGCAAAAATCAAAGATCAATTCCGATGTGGGTGGGGCATATCGATTCATTTCTTCTAGTACCTCCATAACACAAGGTCTTAATTTTTTTCAAGGAGTCACAACCCGAATGACAAACACAATATATCCTCTTCATCAATAATGGAGGTTATATCGTACACAAAACAAATTTCTAAATTGCGGTTAACTCTGATGTGTGCAAGTATAGAAATCCAAAGAAGCACGCTGACAGACAAAGGGATTGGCAAACGTGCGACAATGGATGTATAGATGGATAGAACGCGACATTCAGATATTTGTGTGATAAACTTTAAGCTACGCCCCTATGAAAAGTGGTTAGAGTAGAAATAAATAAACAAAATGCAAAACAACAAAGAGCACAGACAGTTGTAACCACAAAAAACATACATATGTAAATGTATATAAAAATACATATATATTCAGCAACAGCTATTTACAAATCCAACGAATCATGCAATATTGAGTTTTATCGTACATTTTCATTTTTTTCTTTAAATTGAATTGACGATAAAACGATGATGAGTTTTAATGTGTTGTATGCTTGTTGTTGTTGTTGTTGCTGCTGGTTTTGTACTTGCTATAATTAACATGTTTTATGTTAAAAAGTGTTGTTGTTGTACAGCGACATTCTTTGAAGTGACGAAGTGCTGCGGCATCACAAATTATTTTCCCATTCACTACATTCGGTGCAAATTTTTGTTAGAAATTCCCTCTATTATCTCCTTAATACTCTGCTCATGGTGCCCAATTAAAATATTATAAATTGTTTAGAGAGTTGCCATGAAGTTTTTGAAGATTTCAGTTTTTGTTTTGGCAAAATTGTCAGGCTAGATCCCAATTTGTTGTTTTCATAAAAAAAAAACAAATATTTATTAGAGGGGAATGTATGTCATTTTCCGCCGTGGGGTAAGGCAAGGGAAGGCTATAGTTTCGGATCTCATCAGTTCCCCTCGTTTTTTTTTTGAAAATTGTTTTTTTTTGTGATTTAAATTTTACACTAATTTTGGGTAACAAATCTCACTACCAAAGATATTATATATTTTCGGTGCAATCTCCTAAAAATATTGTCGATATAGATCCACTTTCTCGGTATACTATAACTATTATATGTATATCCTTTGTCCTAGGTCACACGAAATAGGATACAACCTTTATTTTAAGATGGTTGAATTTTCCCAATTTTTCATTTCGAGTAGGCAAAATAAGATAGGCTAATCGGTTTCCTATCAAGTTTCGCTGTCGTCGTCAAGGCGGAAATTTGAAGGAAGCATAAAATTTTGTAATTTTTTAGCTACTATACTGGTTCTAACCTTTTCCCCATTGGATGTGTTGGAAAACGTAAATTTATTGCAACTCAATTCAGTCAAACCAGGTCCCTGGATGAATGCAATGTCGATGTTGGGGGAAGAAAGGAAAATGAGCAGCTCATCAGATGCAGACTTGCAGTGATGCAGATTTTTTTGTAGCATGCTTAGTGCTTGCTGCTGGAATTTACTTACAGCTATCGGGTGTGTTGGGAAGCAGGACACCGTGACATCATGGTTAATGAAAGAGCAAACGAATTAGCTAGACGAGGATCTCAATCTAGAGATGTAGCAATTGATGGCTCAATTAAACCACCCATATGTCATCTTTATCGGAACTTTGAGGCGTTCTTCGACGAAAGAGCCTATGAACTTTGGCACAACGAACCTAGGTGCAATGTGTCAAGATCTATTTGGCCGACTCTGAAAGAGCATACGAATTAGCTAGACGAGGATCTCAATCTACAGATCTAACAATTGATGGTTCAATCAAACCACCCATATGTCATCTTTATCGGAATTTTGAGGCGTTCTTCGACGAAAGAGCCTATGAACTTTGGCACAATTGAGCATCTCCTGTGTCGCTGCCCAATCCTGGCCAACAGACGGCAAAGACAAGTGAGTGCTTACTTCCCACCGAGTCTTAGTTTCTTCTCAGCAACGGAACCTGCTCTAATCTACAGCATCATTAGACATCTAAAGTGGTTGGGAAAGTGCAACCTTGGCACATAATATATCTTCTGTCCGATCTCTATAGCCATCTATAATATCTCATACTTACCTTCTCACACTTCCTTGTAAGCTTCTCATCTCTCTGAAAAAACTTTTTGAGTCGCCCAGATATTAACAAAGCTTCATTGAATACAGTCGGCACCCTGACTGCCAACCGTGAAATAATGTCCCAACATTTTGGGGCCCAAATTTCGGCTCGCCGATCTTGGGACTATAGGCACTCGGTCATTTCCTCCAAGACTCTTCCCCAAGACCCGCTGATTGTCCGTTCTACATAATAATCGATTGAATTCAGTTCTGCTCCCCATAGTCGAAATGTTAATATTTTTATCCCTGGTTTAATAATAGGTTAAAATAGAGTTTTAGTTTCGGTTTTACCATAAAAGGTTTTATTAAAAATTTTGAGCATCAACAAAACATTTCTATTGCAAGCGGGGGTATTTCTCCCCCACTTGCTCCGTATTTTAATATTATCTCTTATT